CGGGGGTGAATAGAGTTTTTGCTAATTTAATCCGATAATGATGCCAAATTAAAAACTTATAAATTAATATATCCTAACAATATGATATACAATAAAATATGTAAGGATATACAATTAAACAATAGGCGAAATAAACATGAACACAATAACAAAAGATATAGTGCACAAATGATAATCACAAACACAAGGCAAATGATCACGGAGTTCAGTCGACCCACGACCTACGTCTCCGCTCCTCACCCTCAAGAAGAATCCCCACTATCTCAAAAACAACTGCACAATCGGTTTTCAACGCTCACCGATAACGTTTACAACACATACAGTTGTCAATACACAATGCACTTCTCTAAGTGTTGGCCTAGCCCGTGTTACCTTCCTCAAGTGCTCGGAATTACTACATCTCCCTAGGATTTACAACCGACATCACTCCTCTTGGAATTAACCTCATCTCTCACCAACCACTTCTCTAAGTATCCTTGTGTATTACAATGTGTTTTCTCAACAATAAAGCACAAATAAATTTGTTTGTTCTCTAATACAATGATGAGAACTAAGTGTAAGCTCTCTCAATCATATCCACAACCTAAATTATACAATATGTGAAAATAACTTAAGCTCAAGTAGTTGTGTATAAAAATGATAAGTAATAATAAAACTAAACTCAAATTGATCTAGAAAATAATTGTAATAATCAAAATATGAACAAGCTAGATAAAAGGAGTTTAGAAACTTCTCAATCAAAGAGATGTAAATGATTGAGGATGAACTCCTCAATATTGAAAATCAAATCCTTCTATTTGTGAAACTATCTCCACATAAGCAAACTTGAACACCTCTTTAAAACACTTAAACAAACTTACCAAAACTTGTTTTTAAACTCTTCTTAGATAAATCAGAATGTTAAGGCTAAGGGGTATATATAGGTTCCAAGAACAAACCCCAAAAACCGAGAAAAATCCAACAAAAACAATAAAATTTTTGAAAACCAGGAAACTGGAAACTAGTCGTTACAGTAGCCGTCGGGTTCATCGGTCGACTGATGAGCTAACCGTTGGTAGCCACTCAAAACCCGTCGGTCAACTAATGCACCATCAATTGACTGATGAGCTGCTTCGGTCGGCTGATGGTGCATCAGTCGACTGAGCAGAAACAAATAATAATTCTAGGTGATTACTTTAGTCGACTGATGATCCTTGTGAGTTGACTAAAAACATGCATATGGACTTATTTGCACAGTAAATATGAGTTTTGAAGTGGGTTTAAAAATAGCAAATAAATTCTAAAAATTATAAAACTTAGAAAAATATTTATAAACATGTTAGAAAAGAAAATTTTGAAATATCATTCCCCGTTAGTGAAAACTCATCATTTTGTGAAATCAGTCAAAATATAAAATCTCAAAACACTTGATTTTGGACAAAAATAATTTCAAATAAGTTTGAAACTCTTTAAAATAGACTAATAGACTTGAGGAAAGATATAAAATAGTGTAATCAAGCCTTTAATCCGTAAATATGTTATTTTCCCAAAAATGTATAATACGATAAAACAAAACGTGTATGTGTGTAGTTTGAGCTTTAAAGTATAAACACATAAAGTAAAGCCTAAACTACAAAACTATGTACCCAAGTAAATGATCTTCATTTGAGCTCGATCTTGGTAGGAAGGACGAATCGATGATCATGAATCTAGACTTGAATGCTATCGTGCTTCATTCCTATTTTCCTTCAAACTTCTTTTGAATATCATCGTGAATGCACAATTTCATCCAACCTCCGACTAGGATCTTTGTGTAGAACACCTAACAGGTAACAAACACTCGACAAATGATGTTAGGAATTGTTTGTTAATCATCAAAACTAGATTAAAAATAGTAGGCTCATAAACATGAGACCTAACACTCGTCCATATTAATCGAGGAATAAACCTATCAAATAAAATTCTCCAATACTTTTTCTCATTTCAAATTTATGCATTTGTTGAGAACTAATATGGAAAATCTAAAAAACTTGAATTCAAGCCGTAACTTTTGTCTTTGTTTGACAATAAATGTATGTCTTGTCCACAAACAAACTTAAGCATTCTCCTCTTAATTGATTTTTTTTAATGTTCGGCTCTATATTATTGTGATATGCCCTAAACCATGCATCTCTTATAAATTGTGACTTGCATGTGCTATTAGGGCTGGAGACAGATAGAACACAAATCCGATGTCCTCTTTTAAATTTCTTTTAGTTAAAATTCAAATACTAATATATTTTGAATATTCAAGAATATAACAATATATTTATTTAATTAATCATTTACATTTTATGAATATATAACTATTTAATTAATAAAGGAATCTTGTCTGATTAAATAAATTCTTTAAAATTTTAATTAATTTATTTCTTTAATAATATTTAAATTCACAATTGAAATTATCTCTTATCTACTTCTTTATTACTAAAGGAGAACAACAAAAAAGTTCTGATGAATAGTAAAATAACCACCTAAAAATACTCATTCATTAAAATAACCAGAGGGCGAATAACAACCATCTGCTTGCAACTTCCCCACGCATTCACTAAAATTAGAACCAGAGAAAGAGGGGGGAAACCCCCCACGATGTCTCCCTCCACTCTCCTCATATTCTCCTTCCTCCTCTCTCTACTAGACCCCTCCCTAGCCCGCAACCGCCCTTCATCTCCTCAGTCCCCGACGCCGGTGTCGTCCAAACTCCTGCGACCTCTGATTCTTCCTCCTTCTCCGTCTCCGCTCTCGCCGT